CTTTTTAATGGCAGTGCAGAAACACACATCATCCAGATTACCCAGGAAGTTGCACCGTTTTCAGTGACCTCGAGTCATAAACAGGTTATGGTTGACTTAACAGTAAGCCCAATGCATGTATGTATACTGCAATATACACTGTGCATTTGTATGTTACCTTGGGTATTTAAAGTCTCACAAAATATACAGCAATGTTTCATAAAATTAAGTTTAAAGTAACCATGGTTTACAAATTTCATAATAACACTTGCAAACTTCCATCTTACATGTCAATTCAACCCAACACACAACTTTTTATTCATATCTATGAAAGTCCACCATTCAAAAGTTCATAACTCCGGGTCACTATATACTATTATCATAGGTGACAGTAATGATGTCAACGGTCCTAAAACACACACAGAGCATTCACAGTCAGCTTTGTAATCAGGTTTGCACATCGGCTTGCACTTGTGTCCCAGGGGAATCATAAATCACTATCTTCATATCTATAAGTGGGAAAATATAATTTATTGGTACAAAACTATGCAGGTTGAATGAATATTCTTAGGTTACAATAAACTTTTTCATTCATTTTAAATTATCTATAAACATCTCATTTTTAAAATGTTTCTTTGAAATAAGCTTATCATGTAAGTTGCCTCTCAAAATGTCACATCACCATCAAAAAGGGCACAACGTCTTACTTTGCTAGCCTCCTCCGCAAATCTTTAATTTGGTCATTCTTTTTAGTTAACATTTGCTTCAGGTTCTTAAACGGTGCAGTCTGGCTTACTTTCTTCTCCAATTCCTGAAAAATTTTTTGGGATTATCAATGATCAAAACTTAAATGAAACAGTGCATCTGTATATAAAATATGGCTTATGTTTCAGACCAACAGACAAGCTGGCTTATCATACTAAACCACTCAGAAACCAGCTTCTTAAACACGACAGATACCGACTGCATTACCTCAAATAACAAAAACTGTTCATTAATACACACACAAAAAAGAACCAGGGAAGTAGTGGGGGGGGGGGAGGGGGGGGTTAAATAAAAACTTTCCGTGGAAATGGTCTGTTCTGGTGAAAATGCGATATAGGTTCATGAACGTTTCATGGTAAAAGGTCCCCCTTTTCAGAAAAAGAATCCCAAATTTAAAATTGCTGACTACAAACTAAAGTGCGTTCTTCTCAAGGCAAGCACCAGGAATGAACTTTTTTTATCAGAAACAAGCTCTTGCAAGCATCCAGCTTAGTTCAATGAAATAACATTTTTGTAACAGCAACCCAAGTCCACAACAGTGATTTAGGCTCGGACTGCACAACTTACGTACCTTCTCTGCCAGCTCCAGATCTGCTCTGACTTTCAAAAGCTCGTGTTTGGTGTCAGCTAGGTCCCCTTCCATCATCTCCGCTGCTGCAGAGCCATGCTTCCTACTCTACAAGATTCAATAAATATATATTTTTTATAATTTTCGGTTGAAATATGAATCATAACATTTTTTCCTACGAGTAGTCTTTCCGCAAAAACTTTACCAGTCCACAGGACATGCAATATGAAAAAATCCTGCCAGTCCTAAACTGGCAGTTATCAAATGTCCATTCAATACCTACCTTGTCAATCTCAGACTTCAACCCTGCCATCTGCTTTCTCAGTGCCTCCACCTCTTCACCAGAGTCTTGCTGGAATACAAATACACAAGTTTACTATTAGGCATTATTTACAACTTGGCTTGAATGATTTGTTGAGTAGTAGATTAGAAATAAATGTTGACTACTGCATGAATGTTGTTGTAACCTGAAATATGTCTTTTTTTTAAAGTGTAAGAGATCACAAAACTAATGAAACTTTTAAACATTTAAAAAAACATTTTACATATTTTAACATCAAAAAGTTGCTCCGGCAAATTAATTGAAGCTGTTACTGATAGTCAGCAATCCTCTTGCACAATAAATTCAGATTAAAAAGATGTAGTTATTTTTAATTTATTTAATCAGATCTAACCTAGCCTAGTGTTCAAGCTCAGACAAATTTGGATTTGAGATACTTTGTAAAATGGGAACCTGGAAATAAACAAATCCACACCCTACCCTTATGACAGTTCCTTTAGCTGAGCTGAGGGCATTTTTTGTCTTCTCTAAGTCTGAGGACAGCAGGTTCTTCTCTTGTTGTATTCCCAGGGCCTGAAACAGATAAGATTAATTCAAAATACTGTACACTTGGCTGTCACTCCACTGTTAGTACTTTTATAATTAAAAAAATTATTGGCAAAATTTGCAAAAATTACTAAATTACAAAAGACAGAAATACTCTATTTAAAATAACATGAATACTGTGTTGCAAGTCTAGTGACTTTCTGGCTTAAAAAAAATTAATAGCAAAATGATGAACAAATGTTTAATAATTATTTTGCATGGAAAGAGAATATTGTATTTACACTTGATCAAATGATTAACTTCAGAGCTGTTAATATGTTTAATAATTATTTTGCATGGAAAGAGAGTATTGTATTTACACTTGATCAAATGATTAACCACAAAGCTGTTAATATGTTTGTGTGCATCTAGGTAGATATGTCAATATTCACAACATGGTATATATGTCCCTATACACACCTGGGATTCCACAGCCTTCAGTCTGTCCTTTAGTTTTTCATTTTCTTCTTTTAACCTTTCAATCTCCTGTAGAATTCAAGACAAAATGTTATACCATCAAAATATGTGAACTATACTTATTTAATATAAACTATCATACTTTTAATTATCAGTTTAAACAATACAGGTTTTTATTTGAACTTGTAACTCAGATACTGCAGTGGAGTTCTGGTTGCATGTTTTCATTAGTAAATTTCTGCTCAAACACAAACATGCAACAACATAATACTCCATAACAAACTGCTAACTCTCTCTTTCTCTCAAAGGTCCATGCACACAAACAAGTACACACATGCAACTTCTCATTCCTTTTTCCCTTTTTTTCTCAAAATGGATATAAAACATATGAACACCCCCTTGTCTCCCCATTACGTACACACACAAACAGATTATCATGCTCAGGCCCACACAGACTCGCATGCACAAAAATGCAAACATATACACATTCATTCATTCACACAAATGTTCATGTGCGCGTGCACACACACACACACACACACACACGCACACACATACCATATGCAGCAGGGCAGATGCAGAGCTCTCATTCAGTGGTTCTAGTTTACTAGGTCCAGACAGAGCTGAGAAGTCGGTGTCACGTTTGGTCCCTGTAAATTCTGCATCCTCAAAATCCTTGATCTTCTCAAGTAGATCCCTAAAAAATAAACAAAATGTATAGTCTGTGTCACTATGCACTAGCTCAAGTTAACTTCACACAATATCTAAGTTTATTATTAATAAAACAACCTAAACAGGGCTTGACACTAACTTTTTTCTCCACTGTCCTTTTTGGGCCAGTGAGGTCTGGTAAATATTACAAGGGTTACTTGGCGCATTAAGTTTTACTTGCTCTTCTGGACAGTAACCCCTGTGATTCATAGGCATGAGATGGGTTTACATTGCCCCGGGCCAGTAACCCATCTTTTATGCCCAGCTCTGCTACATAAGATATAACTTTAAAAGGCAGTCTTTTGTATCAATCACATAAGTACTGGACAGTTAGGTAGCAAAAACACTGGCCCTCACTTTCTGTCACCGATGCTCACACTAACCTGTTTTCCAATTCAGAAATATCAGCCTGGAGTTTCAAATGCCACTTCTCGGCTTGTTGACACAGTTGCCGTAGCAACAAGACATTGGTGTGGGCCGTGTTGATGAGCTCGGACTCCATTTCGCCTCTGACCACCGCCAGGAGTCCATCCAGCATTTCAGTGACCTCGTCAACTGTGAAGGTTTCATCTATAAGTCTGGAGCGAAAATGTTGAGTCCTTCATCAAAGGACAGGGAGGGTGTGTGTATGTGTGTGTGTGTATGTGTGTATATGCATGCGTGCGTGTGTGCATGTGTGTAATGAGGGGGGGGGGGGTTGGGGGCACCTTAGCCTTCCACTTTTTTCACCACTATACAGCAGGACACAGAGACCCATAACCCCTACTAAAAGAGGGCCACTATTGTTCTAAAACTGGACCCATTTCTCGCCTACAGCAAAAGGGTCTGAGTCAGTATTAATATGTACCTGCTGTCCTTCAGGTCATCAAAACATGCGTCAACAGCCCGCAGTCTCTGCCCGCGCTGATAGCGAGCAAAGCGCATGTAGTTGATAACGGTGGCCTGGTGGTGATCATTTAGACCTAGGGCGGACGTCTGGAATGACAAAATTCAAGCTTAGTACACATGACGACACTAGACAATTATTACAGACATTTTGCTACCTGCAGAATGTTATATTTACAAATAATAACCGGGATTTTGAGGAAAAAAATCAAAGCAAAAAAGATAGGGCACAGAAAGGCAAAACATTTATGTGATATTAAGAGCATTTCCACAGCATTATTGTTCATATAATAATATAACATAAATATAAAAACAAATATAACAAATATAAATATAACAAAAACAACAAAAATAATGTGATAAACATGAAACATGGATTGAAAATATATATATTCAATGTATTTGTTATACCAGTGGGTGTTTACACACCTCCACATATTTTAATGGATATTTTGCATGAATGCAGGCACCCATATCTACACATGATATCACAGCTTTCTTCAGATCTATTAAAATAAATGCACAATACTTCTCTATTCAGATTTAATTAAAGTGCAAATGTAAAGTAGGTCTACAACATGCCAGTGAGTCAATAAAATTACCACTGTCCCATTCATCTAGATTAAATCCAAGGTGCAAATATTGATTTTCTGAGGTAATGATGCATTCAGAAACATCCCATTTCGTGGTAACCATAGCAACCAACCCAGCCAAACANTGTGGAGAATATCAACCTTGGAGAATACTTTTATATAATGTGTAGAAAAAAGATAATGGTTCATGAAACTTTAAAAAATGTGTATTTTTCAGGTATGAAGAGAGTTTCAGAGAACTGATGGAGTTTGAGAATGCCAGTTCTTCAGACCAGAGTGTTTTGTCAGAGTGAGTGAACTTTGTGGTTCTTATTGATCAGTTAGTGAACCATTCTGACCTGACAGTATAAATTACAGTAATTCTTGTCTGGTATTTTGTTACAGTAACACCAGCCCAAGTTTCTTTTGTCTCTATAGCACCCATTTTGTGGACAAACACTTTTTTAATGAAATGGCACTTTGTTGGAGACATTCTGCTGTTCTAATCTGATGTTTCTTTGCTTTCAGATTTTCTGAAGCTTTAGAAAAGATCCGAAGTCGTCACAGTACAGTGGTTGAAACCATGGCACAGGTGAGGAAGTCCACCACCTTAGTGTGATAATGCAATCATAGTGACACATGTACAGCAGACACACATCATTATAAATTTATTTATTTATTTTTTGACAGTTCTTTTTTTAATTAAGTTAAAGTGTGCTCATTTTTAGACAACGAATCATAAAAGAAGACAGAAAAAAAAGGACATACACATCGTCATTTGTAATACATTCTGGCTATTTTGACTCTCTTATTTCAGTTTGACAATTTCCTCTTCTTTCAATCAAATCACAATTAAGAAGCATAAATGCAGTAACATGCCACAACTCATACAATATACCAGGCAAAGCCAAAGCCAAAAAAGTTCATACTTGTAAAGTATGTTAAAAACCTATGAGATCTAAATTGATAATTACATTAGCATAAATGTGATTATTTGTTGCCTAGTGGCAGCATCGTTTTTGCACATTCCCATGTCCTTGTTTTCTTGCCACAGGGCGTGATGGAACTTGCAAATAGCTCTCCAGATGGCGTACTAGAAGACGCCACTCGAAAAGACATTCAGTATTTCCTCAACCGCTTCTACATAAGCAGAATTAGTATCAGAATGCTCATCAACCAGCATAGTAAGTGTCAGAGGTCATAGGTCAAAGTTGAAGGTCAAGGTTGAAGTCTTAGGATTTTTCTGTTAAACAACCAATCGGGATCCTTGGGACAAGTTGAAACCTCAAGTCGGCCAATCGGAACATGTGACATATATTCAAGTGGATTGTTGATTGGATGAGTTTTTGGATTTCTTTCAGGTTTTCATTGAACATGATGGAATTCAGTACATTGATAGCCTTTGCCATTGAAACACCCTTTTTCATTGCAGTACTTTAAATATGAAACTGAGTCGTGGTATTGAGTTATTTATCTTAATCACTACTCTGGTAGTTATAGAACAAGGTCTTAAAGAATTTTTTTAAAAAAGAATTTATGTTTTAGTATTTTTTCTTTTGAAATTTTATAAACATGGAATAGTTTTACAGAGAACACTTAAGTTGCCCAGTAAAATTAATGATCATTTGTCTTGCTCTCTTCTGAACATGTTGAGGTCTTAACACTTAAATTTGTTTCATTATTTTATGGATATTATTATATATTTCAAAAATAAATACAAAGTGTGTAATGAGCAATTCAATGCAATTCAATTAGTTTCTTGTTTTTTTGTATTCACTGTATGACTTCATTTGTAAGATGGATTTTTTAAAATATATTTTCAGTTCTGTTATTTGGGAACCAGCTGAACCAGGAAAGGCGTTATATAGGGTCCATAGATCCCCACTGCGATGTTCTGGAAGTGGTTCAAGGTAGGAAAAAGGCCAGTTTAAATCAATGATGTTATTACAGTAATAATGATAAAGAAGAAGTGATAATGATGAAGAAGTTTTATTGACTTCAACATGAATTACGAATATTTTTACAGCTGGAATATGTGTTTGATTATCTTTATATTTCCTCAGGTGCGTACGAGGATGCCAAGGGCTTATGCGACCTTCATTATTGCATTACGCCAAAGTTGGACATCAAATGTTTTAATCGTAAGTGTTCCTGTTAATTCTTTTCTGGGTGCTGAAAGGTGCTTATCTGGGAAAGTTCACAGAGTGGTTCCAGCTAAAATGTCATTGATTAAAATATTGATTTATATATGAAATTTGGGATTTCTATTGAACTTAGCAAAAATCCTTTCTCAAAAAAAAAAAAAAAAAAAAAAAAATCATACTGATAGAGACAGTAAGGTTAGACACAGTTAGGTTATTATTATTACTTGTTTTTCTCAGCCTATGAGCAGGGAGAGCCTATCCAGATGGTCTACGTCCCATCCCATCTTCACCACATCATGTTTGAACTGTTCAAGAACTCAATGCGCGCCACTATTGAGACGCGCAGTAACGTCACAGATAGCGATCTCCTACCCCACATTGAGGTGAAGATATTTAAAGGAAAAGAAGACATTACAATAAAGGTAAATGAATAAGGAAGGGGATAATATATATACACACACGCATGCACGCACTCACACACACACACACACACACACACTGGATTAATTGCATACCTTATGATCTGTTAGATAACAGTGTTATATAGTTACATAGCTGTCAAAATCACTGAAATGATTTTTTATGTTATTTAAATTACGGAGTTATTTTTCCAGATAAGTGACCAAGGTGGTGGTTTCAGCAGAGACCAGCTTGACCTGATGTTTAACTACACCTACACCACTGCGTCCAAGCCTTCAGCTGATCACCACACACCCTTTGTAAGTTTACCTCATGGTCATAATGTGTGTGTTCCACCTTAATGTTGCAAAACTTTGTTATATCAGTGCTTTTCCCATAATCACTATCACAAGGTACATCACATATAATACTGTTGACAAAATTATTATCTTTAGAAAGTTTTTAAGTTGTATGTTTTTAGTTTATGAGTAACTCTTTCATTGAAAATGGAGACTGGTGAATATCATTTGTGGCAATACAATTAGTTAAGTTGGATTTTATTTATCATCATTATTATTACTTTCCCTAGGCTGGCTATGGCTATGGTCTCCCTCTGTCTCGTCTGTATGCCGTCTATCTGAACGGTAACCTTGACCTTGCTCCCGTGGAGGGGCATGGAACTGACGCCTATGTGTATCTAAAGGTATGGAAGATATAGAATTATATAGGTCAACAAGCTGTATGTGACATGAATGTCAAGCACATTTGTCTGCCACTTACACCTTGCTGATAAGTGTTGTGTCTATATAATTTCACAGGAGTTGTCAAGGACATAGATAAGTTAGATGTGTTATATCTTGTATTTACTTGTCGCGGGATGTACAGGGGTATGCGAGAAAACATCGGGACTACATTTTATGTACTTGACATCTGCTGTAAAACTTAAGTTTAGTCATTTTGTTCTGATGTTGCATATTGCTTTCTATAATTATATGTGAAATTGCATGATTTTTACTTCAAAAAAGTATGTTAAAAGCATTTAAATTGTAGATTATAACAACATATTTCTTATTAATTCACAATTTAGCTCTTTCAAAATAATGCCAATTCTGAAATCATAAATTTATGTCCTTCAGACTCTTTCTCAAGCTGCCAGCGAGCTTCTCCCAGTTTTCAACAAAACTACAGCAAAGTACTACAATTCCCCCATACCTGTAGCTGATTGGAGTAACCCCAGTCACACCACTGGTAGGACTTGTAATTTAGTCTATTACATGTGATAAGATAAGATAAGATTTAAAAGTGCGTGTCTGTGTGTGTGTGTTTGAGAGACAGAGAGTGTAGAAGTGTATACAAGTGGGCATGTCAGAATTAAAACTTCTGTTTGAATTGCATTATTGCTGTATAAATTGCAGATTAAATTATGTGTAAGTGTTTTTATTTCAATTTGTTCTATCGACGATGAGTCAGATTTCAAAGATTCAAAGATAAGTTTTAATGTTTGAAAGATAACTTACTTTTTGAAGATATGAGAATTCAACATTTTCTTGTGTTGAAGAATCAAAACATGATGACACTAATACTACAATCTTATTATATTATTTATTTATTCCTTCATTCTTTACATGTATATAAATTGAAATGCATATTTTCCATTTTTCAGGTCTCACAACATTTCTTTCAAGGACATACTGCACAAAAACCAGTAACCAGTAGAAATCCACAGTCAAGTCAAACCTAACAAGGACACTGCACTTGTACTTGTAACAACTTGTATTTGTCCCTACGTTAAAGAGACAGGGAAATGGCACTGCGGATTATTGGACACTGTTTCCGATCATATCTCTCTGATAATTCAAATATAAAAAAACATTTCTGTTTTGTGAGAGCACTTGGTAATTATTATAGAACCTAGTTTTCTGCTATCTGAGACTGCTACTTGTATATATTTAAAGTTGTTTGCAAAGCAGTAGATTACCACTATCACATTTCAGAGCCGTGACTGTTATTTACAGTTTGAGTTGAAAATGTCATTCTTTACAACGGTTACTTCGCATTGATAAATGTTATATAACAACTAGAATCACATCCAGTTTTATTGAAAGAACTCACAGTTCTGCTGTAAAGGTGTCTGTCGATAGATTTTTCATTTTATTGGCACTTAAAGATTAGTTAGGTGTACTTATTTTATGTGATAAAAAAAATAAACTTGTGATGCTTGAAAGTATGTAATGGACAGGTGATAGTTAACACTCGTTTCAATAGAACTTATTATGAATCGAGGATTTTGGTGCTTCGTTTCCATGACCAGCACTTTTATATTCATATAATCAGCTAAATGTCTGTGTTCACCATATTACTATCACACATTGTTACATACGTTTTGAAAATACACGTGCAGGTTTCAAGATCTATAAAAAGTCCAAATGTCAGTTATATATGTATAGTGTTAGGTTTAAATGTTTTGGAGCTGTATATAAAATGGATATATGATTTGGTCTTGCATATAATTAAATGTAAATAACATGATAGGCTTTTAATTATATATTTCAGTGATTAAGGAAAGTGAAATTTGAATGACTGAAAGCGCAGTGGCCAAGGAAAGTTGTATGTGCCAAATGTATTTGGCTTTGCAGATGACAAAATATGTCCTATATCCATCTACAACTTAACATAGAGAGTGACATATGCAAGCAGGAACTAGAAATGTTCTAAATCTTTTCTAAATTCTGTATTTTAGTTGATCGTTGTAATAATGTTACAACACATTTTCATCCCCTTTTGTTTTATCAAATTTTTCTCACACTTCTCCCAGGGATCATAGCTGATATTGATAGACATGGTGAAATTTTACAGCACCAAATTGCAAGCTGTGTCCACACTTCCCTTTAAATAGTGTTGGACCCAAAGCTCACATGGGAATTTTAAAGAAATTACCTCTCGTTCTAGTCATGGTCTCTTCAGTATTGGGTTTATTTCACAAATATTTAATGTAAATCGTGAAACTAAATGAGACGGGGACATATTTCAGTCCTTGAAGATATGAAGAAGTTTGTCAGTTCTGAAATTGATTGTTTAATTTATGTTTTTTATTTGTTAAGTTATTAATTGGTGTTGTCGTAGTACTTTTGGAATAAATTATGTGCTCTGAGAATTTTATCAGAGTTATTTAGGTGCCATACAGTAAGCTGAAAAAGATGAGTCACTAAAAATCCACATTATTGTTAGATGTTTAAAGGCTACAAGTTTTAATTTACAAATATCCAGATTTTAAATTTTCTGTCACATGTATCTTGGCAATGCCATGCACAAGTATCTTAAAATATTGTAAAAAGTTATTAACACAGGAGTTTGCTGAAGGTTTATTTGGAGTGATAAAGAAGTAAGGTTAGATTTGTATATATTTAGTTATCAAAAGGTAAAAAAGTTAATATTTGTGTTGTTGTCAAGTAGCGAAATAGTTTTCATGCTAGAGTTTTGTTCTTTGGCTAATGTAATTAGTTGTGATAAAATATTAAGACAATAAGACCAAAGGAGGGACACACGAGCAGATTTCCCAGGGAGAAAAAAAATGAAGTAGTTATTAGTATATAGAATATATTTAGAGTTTTGGCAATTGTGAAAACTTCATCTGCTGTTTTAATCAGAAAATGAAAGGTGAATAATTGCACACTTGGCTATTTACTGTTAGTGACTTTGTTGTTGACTTACTGTAAAGTATGTGAAATGTTTTATTTGCAGTAGGAAGTATTACTAGATGGTTTGTAAAATTTGAAGTTCATACTTGATAGTTGTTATATTATTGTCAAAATTCTCCAGAAATAAACAATATCGTTATGTATCTTTGAAATTTTCTTTTCTTCTGCAGTAATCGCGTCTTACACATAATATGGGAAGTCATCTTTCAAACCTTCATGCCTGCTGAAACTTTCACTAATTTCACAATTTTTGCTAAAGCATGAAGATGGGTATTATGAAAACATTTTGAGATAAAATTTGACCAGAAAAGAAAGAGAAGTGCTTTTATTTCTTTTTAACTCCTGGTTTTACATTATGCACAATGCATCACATTACTGTGACTGCAACTGGTTTGCCTTTTGCATCTATTTAGGAGCAGCAAAGTTGAAATTAATCAATTTAGAAGAAAGTCTCGTGTATAGCATTTGAAGTATACATCAACTGAAGCACAGTAACAAAACACCCTGTCAGTTTGTACAATAATGGCCATTTTGGTAAAGTATGCACACCCACAAGAATCTTGTGACAAAAAAACTTTTTTGATAATGTTTTCTTTTCTCTTTTCCCTCTCAAATTTCTATTACTTCCTACGGTTCTTAAGTGAGGTTTACCACCTTAAGACAAACGTAAGCGTCAACTCCAAACCTCTTTCTTCACTATACTTCACAAGATAGATTAAAGAAGAAGTTGCCACTAGCAAAATACATATAATTTCATACTTTAATGGTCAATTGTCTCTAGCCTTCCATTCTCTTTTTTTTTCTTATTTTTAATATATTGCATTTTTCACTGAATATTCTAATATTCTACTCCTGGACAACATTCCCCCTGAAATATGGAATTCTAAATGCTTTTTAATGAACTTTCCAGTCATTACCTATCATTTTATCATACTAAGGACTCATATACTAAACATCTAAACTGCTCACACAAAAAATAATTAGTAGAAAATATAAAGACAGTTGGCTTACTGAAATGTGATGGTCTTTTTCTCAAAGGACGGATGCATTTAAAATGCGAAAGTACAAAGAAAAAGTGACAGCAAAAAACACTGTTAAAAGTTCAACACTGTTAACCTTGCATAAAAAATAAAACAATGAAAATCTATATAGTATATATCTACAAAGCAGGGCTAACTGAAAATGATTATCTTTTTTATATGTACACTAGACTAGATTAGAATACTGCAATCCAATTTAAACATGGTACATTCAGATAAATATCTTGTATATATTTTCACACACGTCTTTTGTTTTCTCATCTTCCTTTGCTCATAATCTCTTTAGCAGGACCTGTTCTAAATGTTCATAACTCTTTCTTTTAGGTTTTAAATAAATATAAAAACTTTGCAATGCATTTAATCCAGAGCAATCTTAATCTGGTATTCTTTCTAAAGATTCTATAAAGCATGTAAATGCATGATAGTTGTTATCAGTGTCTTAAAGAAAGGTTGCATCTAAATTGAACTTTTTATCTCATATCCAACTTCTGAATGAACAAAAAGCATCTTATAATTTTGTTTTGTCCAGTTTAACTTTGCTTTAACTCACTGTTCAGAAACCTCAGTAGAAATGAGGTGAAACATTAATAATATGCAGTTTGATAGTTGCATGTTTGGACTGTTGAATTCATCATTCCACAGACAGTTTTTACATAAATATTTTCATATCGTCTAATTTTTGGCTCTACTCAAGATCCTTCCTCAGGACAAACTGGCCATGCGCTGATGTTCTTACACCGAGTTGAGTAGAGCTGAAAACTAGACGATATGAGAATATTTAGATAAAAACTGTCTGTGGAATGATTAAATCAACAATCCATGTATAACTGCCAGACTATTGAATTTTGAAAAGCAGTGGTAGGTTTGGTTGTCATAATAGATTTGTCATTTTAGACATTATCAAGTTCTTCTCTAGGATGAAGCCTTCACTCAGTTACATCACCATGGTTACAGTACTTTATACCCATATAATTCCTTTTTCATGTAAAAATATTTTCAAAGTGGTCCCACTTTTTAAAGGCAATGCAGAAACACACATCATCCAGATGACTCAGGAAGTTGCACCGTTTTCAGTGACCTAGAGTCATAAACAGGTTATGGTTGACTTAACAGTAAGCCCAATGCATGTATGTATACTGCAATATACACTGTGCATTTGTATGTTACCATGGGTATTTTAAATCTCACAAAATATACAGCACTGTTTCATAAAATTAAGTTTAAAGTAACCATGGTTTACAAATTTCATAATAACACTTGCAAACTTCCATCTTACATGTCAATTCAACCCAACACACAACTTTTTATTCATATCTATGAAAGTCCACCATTCAAAAGTTCATAACTCCGAGTCACTATATACTATATACTATTATCATAGGTGAGAGTAATGATGTCCAAGGTCCTTAAACACACACAGAGCATTCACAGTCGGCTTTGTAATCAGGTTTGCACATCGGCTTGCACTTGTGTCCCAGGCGAATCATAAATCGCTATCTTCATATCTACAAATGGGAAAATGTAATTGATTGGCACAAAACTATGCAGGTTGAATGAATATTCTTAGGTTAACCCTCACATTAAACTTTTTCATTCATTTTTAATTATCTGTAAACATTACAAATTTTTCTATGAAATAAGCTTATCATGTAAGTTGCCTCTCAAAATGTCACCATAAAGAAGGCACTATGTCTCTTACTTTGCTAGCCTTCTCCGCAAATCTTTAATTTGGTCATTCTTCTTAGTTAACATCTGCTTCAGGTTCTTAAACGGTGCAGTCTGGCTAACTTTCTTCTCCAATTCCTGAAATTTTTTAAAGATCATCAATGATCATAACTAAATGAAACATTGCATCTGTATATAAAATATGGCTTATGTTTCAGACCAAAAGACAAGCTGGCTTATTATACTAAACCACTCAGAAACCAGCTTCTTAAACACGACAGATACCGACTGCATTACCTCAAATAACAAAAACGGTTCATTAATACACACACAAAAAAGAACCAGGGAAGTAGTGGGGTGAGGTGGGGGGTGGGGGTGGGATTCGGGGGGTTAAAATAAAAACCCTCCCTCCCACCTTTCCGTGGAAAAGGTCTGTTCTGGTGAAAATGCGATATAGGTTCATGAACGTTTCATGGTAAAAGGTCTCCCTTTTCAGAAAAAGAATCCCAAATTTAAAATTGCTGACTACAAACTAAAGAGGGTTCTTCTCAAGGCAAGGACCAGGAATGAACTTTTTTTATCAGAAACAAGCTCTTTCAAGCATCTGGCTTAGTTCAATGAAATAACATTTTAGTAACAGCAACCCCAGTCCACAACAGTGATGTAGGCTCGGACTGCACAACTTACGTACCTTCTCTGCCAGCTCCAGATCTGCTCTGACTTTCAAAAGCTCGTGTTTGGTGTCAGCTAGGTCCCCTTCCAGCATCTCTGCTGCTGCAGAGCCATGCTTCCTACTCTAGAAGATTTAATAAATATATATATATTTTTCAGATGAAATATGACACATAACATTTTTTCCTACGAGTAGTCTTTCCACAAAAACTTTACCAGTCCACAGGACATGCAATATGAAAGATCCTGTCGGTCCTCAACAGGCTGTTACCAAATGTCCATTCAATACCTACCTTGTCAATCTCAGACTTCAACCCTGCCATCTGCTTTCTCAGTGCCTCCACCTCTTCACCAGAGTCTTGCTGGAATACAAATACACAAGTTTACTATTAGGCATTATTTACAACTTGGCTTGAATGATTTGTTGAGTAGTAGATTAGAAATAAATGTTGACTACTGCATGAATGTTGTTGTAACCTGAAATATATCTTTTTTTTTTTAAGTGTAAGAGATCACTAAACTAATGAAACTTTTAAACATTAAAAAAAAAAAAAAGCATTTTACATATTTTAACATCATTTAGAAAGAGTTCCTCCAGTAAATTAATTGAAGCTGTTACTGATAGTCAGCAATCCTCTTGCACAATAAATTCAGATTAAAAAGATGTAGTTATTTTTAATTTATTTAATCAGATCTAACCTAGCCTAGTTTTCAAGCTCAGACAAATTTGGATTTGAGATACTTTGTAAAATGGGAACCTGGAAATAAACAAATCCACACCCTACCCTTATGACAGTTCCTTTAGCTGAGCTGAGGGCATTTTTTGTCTTCTCTAAGTCTGAGGACAGCAGGTTCTTCTCTTGTTGTATTCCCAGGGCCTGAAACAGATAAGATTAATTCAAAATACTGTACACTTGGCTGTCACTCCACTGTTAGTATTTTTATATTAAAAAAAAAATATTTGCAAAATTTGCAAAAATTACTAAATTACAAAAGACAGAAATACTCTATTTAAAATAACATGAATACTGTGTTGCAAGTCTAGTGACTTTCTGGCTTAAAAAAAATTAATAGCAAAATGATGAACAAATGTTTAATATATATTTTGCGCGGAAAGAGAATATTGTATTTAGCACTTGATCAAATGATTAACATAAAAGCTGTTAATATGTTTGTGTGCGTCTAGGTATATACATCAATATTCACAACATGGTAAATATGCCCCTATACACACCTGGGATTCTACAGCCTTCAGCCTGTCCTTTAGTTTTTCATTTTCTTCTTTTAACCTTTCAATCTCCTGTAGAAAAATCAAGACAAAATGTTATACCATCAAAACAGGTGAACTATATTTATTTAATTTAAACTATCATACTTTTAATTATCAGTTTAAATAATACAGGTTTAACTCAGATACTGCAGTGGAGTTTCGGTTCCATGCTTTTATTGGATAGTTTCAGTCTGCACACAAATAAATATACAAAAACAATGCTCAAAAACAATCTGCTAATTCCTTCTTTCTGTCAAATGTCCATGCATATACATGCACACACATAAAATTCTCCTTCCTTTGCCTTAATTTCTCAAAAAATGTAGAAACAAATAAATCCACATGCACACATTCAAATGCTGTCATTGCAACCTTTCAAACATTTACACACACATGCATATAAATACTGACATATACATTGTATAAATGCATTCACCATCTGCTAAGACACACATGCACACGCTCACACACACACACACACTTACCATATGCACGCTCTCTTACACACACACACACACATGCACACACACACGCTCACTTACACACACACATGCACACACATACCATATGCATGCACACACACACACACATGCACACACATACCATATGCATGCACACACACACACACACACACACATACCATATGCAGTAGGGCAGATGCAGAGCTCTCGTTCAGTGGTTCTAGTTTACTAGGTCCAGACAGAGCTGAGAAGTCCGTGTCACGTTTGGTCCCTGTAAATTCTGCATCCTCAAAATCTTTGATCTTCTCAAGTAGATCCCTAAAAAATAAACAAAATGTATAGTCTGTGTCACTATGCACTAGCTCAAGTTAACTTCACACAATATCTAAGTTTATTATTAATAAAACAACCTAAACAGGGCTTGACACTAACTTTTTTCTCCACTGTCCTTTTTGGGCCAGTGAGGTCTGGTAAATATTACAAGGGTTACTTGGCGCATTAAGTTTTACTTGCCCTTCAGGACAGTAACCCCTGTGATTCACAGGCATGAGATGGGTTTTCATTGCCCCGGGCCAATAACCCACCTTTTATGCCCAGCTCTGCTACATAAGATATAATTAAGGCAGTCTTTTGTATAAATCACATAAGTACTGGACAGTTAGGTAGCAAAAACACTGGCCCTCACTTTCTGCCACTGATGCTCACACTAACCTGTTTTCCAATTCAGAAATATCAGCCTGAAGTTTCAAATGCCACTTCTCAGCCTGTTGACACAGTTGCCGTAGCAACAAGACATTGGTGTGGGCCGTGTTGATGAGCTCGGACTCCATTTCGCCTCTGACCACCGCCAGGAGTCCGTCAAGCATCTCAGTGACCTCGTCAACTGTGAAGGTTTCATCTATGAGCCTGGAGCAAAAACATTAACGAAAAGATGGTCATATCAAAGAACAGGATGCGTGTGTGTGTGTGTGTGTGAATGTGAGGAGAGCAATGGCAAAAGGTGGGTGGGGGGGGGGGGTAGCTTAGTCTTCCACTTTTTCCACCACCATACATCAGGATGTAAGGACCCATTACCCCTACTAAAAGAGGGCCACTATTGTTCTTAAACAGGACCATTTCTTCCCTGTTATAAAACAGAACTCAGATTTAGCTCTGAAATGAATTAATTTGAAATAAATTATTTGTTAATACGTAGTTCTTTTTTGAAATGAGTCTCGCCTACAGCAAAAAGAAGGTCTGACTCAGCATTATGTACCTGCTGTCCTTCAGGTCGTCAAAACATGCGTCAACAGCCCGCAGTCTCTGCCCGCGCTGATAGCGAGCAAAGCGCATGTAGTTGATAACAGTGGCCTGGTGATGATCATTTAGACCAAGGGCGGACGTCTGGAATGACAATATTCAAGCTTAGCACACATGACGACACTAGACAATTATTACAGACATTTTGCTACCTGCAGAAAGTTATATTTACAAATAATAACCGCGATTTTGAGAAAAAATTATCAAAGCAAAAAAGATGGGGCACAGGAAGGCTAAAAATTTATTTAAAATAAAAAGAGCATTATCACAGCTGTTCATATAATAATAATAATAATACATAATTATAAAAACCAAATAAATAAAAAAATAAAAATGTGATAAACATGATATATGAATTGAAGATATATTTATTCAATGTATTTGTTATACCAGTGGGTGTTTACACACATCCACATTTTTTAATGGGAACTTTGCATGAATGCAGGCACCCATATCTACACATGATATCACAGCTTTCTTCAGATCTATTAATAAATGCATGATACTTCTCTATATTCAGGATTTAATTAAAGTGCAAATGTTTAGTAGGCTTACAACATGCCAGTGAGTCAATAAAATTACCACTGTCCCATTCATCTAGATTAAATCCAAGGTGCAAATATTGATTTTCTGAGGTAATGATGCATTCAGAAACATCCCATTTCGTGGTAACCATAGCAACCAACCCAGCCAAACAGTTAGTCTTAGCATGCAGTTCCAGGTAGACTGCTATCAGCGAAGCCTTTTAATATTACGCAAGAGCATTAGTTTACATATTAATTCTACAGCAGGTGTTACATGCATATTAGCATGAAGTGGCATTGTAATACATCCTAGTACAGTACATGGTAAAAACAATTCTGATTTATTCAGCTAGCCCCTTGGGCTGCAAAGGTCTATACAAAGGGTCTAATGACCCAACACAGAAACAGTGGTCAGTACAAGAAAAAGTCTTGACTATAATGTAGGTGGAATTGAGCCTTATCTTAACTGGAACAGGCTGAAGGGTATGTTTAAACAACCTGAGTACCCAATAATAGGTGGTGTAAAACCATCCCCCCTGACTTATGATTTTCTTGTACCAGGTTGGTGCTGAGTAAACATAAACGCTAAGGCTTAGTTCCCAATGAAACAATCGTACTAGGTAGATCAATCCAACTCTGCAGAGACCTTTGCTAAATGCAATCAGATGACCTATGATGCTCAGGGAACTGGGGGTGGGAGGGGGGGGGAGGGGGGCTGAGTCTGTACTGGTTCTTGTACTATGTACTTGTACTAATGACATTATATGAATTTCTATTACACTTGGGTTAAGTTTCATAAATGAAACTCTTGCAATCTAAATGTTAGTATTCTGGAATGTGATGAGTTTGAAAGGTTACAGTATGCAATATCTAATGTTAGGCTTCCTGCTTTGTTATTCTGTCATGGAAATACATAACCCCCTGAGATGAAGCAAAACACAATTCTCAAAATGATATCTTTAACACGGAAAGGTTTAAAAAATGAAACATTTTGAAAATTAGTGTATTATTCATTACTTATGCATTTAGTCCTAACCCAGGACCCTCTTCAAATTTTCATTAAAAAATACAATTTTAATTTAATCAATTAATGGTGACTAGTAATAAGTAATTAAAACAAAATATGCGTGATAACAGAAACATTTTTTTCTTTAGCCCCATTCATGGTAAGTTTTAGTATTTGTGTTAGTATTAAATGCATGATTGATTCTGGTTAATGTTATACTGACTAATAATACTTACCTCTTCTTCTTTTGATTTGTATTTCTTTTTTAGTTTAGACTAGAAATGACAGCAAAATTATAGACACACAAGACTTAAAGCACACTGCTAAAGTTCTGTTCTTTTAATTTTTGCACAAAAGTCTGACAAATATGAATAAATATAAATAAATCAAAATTAGATTAATCAAAAGACACGCAATTAGTATGTACACTTTCTACATTGATGAATCATCCTAGCCAAGAAAACAGCAAAGTCCTTGGTTAGTTAAGCTATACGACTTTGACTTGAGCATAAGAATATTTTTAGAAGTAACCTGGTGTAAACTGCATGGGCTAGCATATTAAAGTTTTTGGTTTTTAATACTAGTACATTCCATGCTGCATGGTTTCTTTTTCTTTCTTTTTATTCTGAATTTAGACCATGTTTTCATTAGTTATTCCCTCCCCCCCCCCCCAAAAAAAAAAAAAAAAAAAAAAAAAAAAAACTATACACACACCTCCCTCATTTTTTATTTAATCTAAACTTTAGATTGAACATATTTTGCTTATAAGTGATACGTGTATAAAAACAATCCACTTGGAGTTACTTCCCTGTAAATAAATTACCATAAGTTCATAGCAGTACTAGACAATTAACTGCACCAATCAATATATTGTACAATATGTACAGTTTATCAGTAGAATGTGATGTATTTAACAAGTCTACAGCGCAGGTACGAAAATCTGAAATAATGCAGCATCAATATCATTTAAATTAATATTACGTAACTGGGAGTGAAATGCAAATCCTCTGTGATACGAATAATAAACCAGTTTGTATATTGCAATTTGCAGCTCCCCCCCCCCTCCAAAAAAAGTCCTACTCCTCACCATCGATATATGGCACATCTATTTTGACGACAGATGTATTTCTCGCATTAATTAACTATTACTTCACCATCTTTTCCCCTTCAATGCGCACTGAAATGTCTTCCACGACTTAAAAATTGACAGTGCTAGTAGTCACACGGTGAGAAACAGAAAGCGACGTTCGCGTGATTCGGCGATGAAAAATTCTTGCCAGGCGTATTACACTTACAATTAATTTATGTTCGAAACGAATACCGTTGTAAATCGACTAAGTACCCTTTTCTTGTTTGCACATCCAAACTTGACGATAAAAGCTATGGAGCATGCAAAATTGCATAGATACTTACCATTTTTGCTTATTTCAAAAGCGGAATGTTAATGTCAATGTACACAAATGAACCTCGGTGAAATCGAGGCTGAGGCTAAAAACGGGGAGGTCAATTTGCAAAACTTTATATCTTTTATTAAAGTAAAACAGCAATTAAATAGCATGAAATATTTAAATAGAAGTAATGATGGATTCATGTCTTCAGGAACAATGTTATCAATAGCCTTCAAGAGTTGTGGTTTAATTTTACAAAGTCAGTCGCTGCTCGGAATTGGACTTCCTGTCATAAAATCGAGTCCGAAATGCATTTTGGGAACGTTTTTGGCATGTTATTTTTTCTCCTGTTTTTAAGGGATAATTTGTTAAGAAAATATCAACCTTAACAATTGTTCAAATTTTGTTTCGTGTTCATTTTTCCAAAGCAGCGTCCATATTGAGCAAACAAAACAAATTACACTCATCCGGGCATTGACGGAATCCAAGATGGCTTCCACGGGTAAGCATCACACGTGTTTATATTTCACAATATTTCATCAAATAATTAGTTAAGTTAAATTGTGATTAACCAGCAAATGTACCGTACCATTAGATAATCGTGGCTAAAGCATGATTCTGTTAAAAACTTTTATACTAAAGAGAGCGCAACCATGATTTCATCGCTTCAACTCCTAACCTTGTAAGGCCAGTCGGGGCGGCGGTCCCGATTCCTGAAATCTGATCGCATTTGCCAAACTATTAATCACCATATTTCTCATAATATTATTTATCTTGTCCTGCAATATTGAGAAAAATACTGGAATTTCGTGTGATCAAAAACACGAATCTCTGCATGTCCGATACAGCTCACGAGTGGTGAGCTGGCAGCGAACGCCAACATATTGTCCAAATCTCTTGACTGCAGGCTGTGAGAAAAGAAAAGTTTGTGTGAGAATTTTACCTTGAAAGATCTAGGGATGGATCTGGTGATGACTATTTCTCAAAGTGATGCAACAATATATTTTGACAGATGTTCGTGAAGTTAGCCATCTGCTGTCTCCCATCTCTCTCTTCCTTTTCGTAACACCATAATTGTGTGTGTGTGTGTGTGGGGGGGGGGGGGGGAGTTCAGGGGCATATGGGATAAGTTAAGTCTAATATCACTCTTTATGTATGATATAGAATTATTTTAGTGTATAAATTGCTCATTGTAGGTTATGCTCCTTAGAATAATAATAATTGTCATCATAATGTAAACAAACATATATGAAGCATAATTTGGGTTAGTTTAAGATACGATGTAGAATGGAAAACTGTTACTATTGAGTAATATTTTTCTCCTTCAATTGCAGATAAAAAGAAAGGAAAGAAGAAGGGACAGACCATCAGCTTGAATGCATTTCTTGCTGATGAAAATGAATCCGAGTCTGGCAAAACGGTCCTTATTGCATCAGGCTCCAACTGGGGAGATCTTGTGGAGGACGAGGATGTAAATGGTAAACATAATAATACCATTTCATTTCTCTGTTTTTTTTTATTTTTATGATTAAATGGGGTTGTTGGAGGTGGTTCGTCCAAATCCATTTAAACCCAGTGGTGCCTTTTAAATTGCCACATATATTTAACATAGTGAAATATAAATTGTAGTACAATAATTCCAGTATTACTCATGTCTGTAAGCACTACAGTATATATATATATATATATATATATATATATATATATATATATATATATATATATATATATATACCTTATTACGGTTTGATGAAAGAATAACGCAGACTTGTTCAAGTGGAGATTAGGCTATAGATTTGATTATTTTCTTCTACAGACTCCAGTGACTATACGTATGGAGGACCTGCAGAGAAGGTTGTACTCCCAACGGCACCACGTGCCGCGAGGGGGCCCAACATTGACATGAGTCGCGTGCCCACAGAGCCTCCGTTTACGGCCTATGTCGGGAACCTTCCGTATGACATAGATGAAGAGCAGATTGCAGAGTTCTTTGCTAAACTGGGGGTAAGTACCCAAAGCTATTCAAGTTAGGTGAATTTTTTTAGTTTTCCCTTGTGTAATGGTGCTAAAAGAAATAAGTCATTTGTATATGATTTTCCTTTTTGTTTTACATCTGAGAAATGATATTTCAACCTTTCACTGAAGAGCTTTGATTTAGTTGTTTTGGTAAGATTTTCCATTCAGCAATCTGTGTTTTATGGGATAGTTATATTTTCATGTTTAGGGGCATAAAATCTACAAGAGAAAGAAAAATCTTCAGACCTGCAAATGGAGAATGAGCGAAGAACTATAGAGTCAAAATGACTTGAAAAAAAAATACAGTAAATAAAATAAATGTTGAATATTCACAAGGGAATTGCCCTAAACTTTGTTGCATACAGATAAATAGTATCTTTTTCCAGTCGTATTGTTTGATTTGCTTAGTTTTTGAACCTTTCATTTTATTTTCTTCCAGGTGCTAAACGTTCGTCTCCCCTCTGATGGCGGTAGGTTAAGAGGTTTTGGCTATGCAGAGTTTCCCGACAGAGAGATGTTAATAGAGGCCCTAGCCATGAATGATGAGGTGCGATCATTAATTAATTTATTTTCCTTCTTTTTTGTATGTTTGCCTAAATTATTCACATGTAGATTTTATAAGGGTTCTGTTCAATATAAAGTTATTGCATGAATATGATTTGTACACAGGGGTTATGATGTAATTTGTCACATTTAGATCCAAGATTGATGCATTTGATTTAATAATAATGATTATTTATATGCATGTATCACCTTGCACCTTGGTCACTGTTTAGTAAGGGAACTCATATTTTTAAGAATATTTCAGAATTATCAATTTGAATGTTATTTGAAGCAGAGGAGAAATAAATTTTAAGAAGTTATCCCTGCTGACAAAGTGTTCCTACATGGATTTGTACATCGTGTGATATAAAGTGAGAGTTAATCTTTGTCTTTTCTGTGTTTTAGATGCTGCGAGGAAGAAAGATTCGAGTGGATCTGGCAAGCGGGTCACAGAAAGGTCTGTGAAGAATGATAATCATTTGAGAGAAAGGTTTAAATGATTATGAAATGTAAATCAATTTTCAATATAAAGAAAATTTAATAGACTTAAGAATTGCCCTTTCAAGAATTCCTTCAAAGGTTTGTAAGATCAATAGACCTTAAAGATGATGGTGTGTATGATAATGATATATAATCTTTCATATGAAAAAGATAATTATTGAAGAAATGCCATTGAAAACAACTGCTGTGTAGCTGTCAATTGTGGTATTTAAGGAGCTGATGCTTAAAGAAATTTACTCACTGAATAATTGTTGACATCATCTAACGAGCAAAGCCATGTTGGACAAATATTTCAAAGTTAGTGCATGTATAACATTGTCAAAGTTTTTCACCCATGGGGTAGGATTCTAGGCAGCTTCATGTTTAGCCAGTCTTGAATTGGAAACTACAGCTAATTAAAGTAATTGACCCTATCATTTAATTAGTTAAGAATAACTCATTTGTTGATTGAGGTTAGAAGCAGGTTAATGGTATTGGGTTAACGTTGTGGGATTCTTGGAGCACTATCAGGAAAATAATTGCCACCACTTACTATCACTTAACATCAATTGACATATAAATCGCTCCCAAAATTTGTTTGTTTGCTTCTTTATTTATTTATTTATTTATTTATTTATTTGTAGTTTGGAGTGTACAAAATTACTCTAAAATCAAAAATCCCATATTTAGTATATTGGGCACACGTTAATAATTTAACAAGCATTATGTCATAGTCATATCAGAGAACAATGGATTGATTTGTCTTGTTCTCCTTGGGGAGGAAATTACGCGGTCGGTGATGAATAGGCAGCTGCTTTTGGAGAACCGAGTGCATGAATATTGATGACATGAAAACGGTTGAATTTTTTAAACATCAGATGTGATGGCACCAAGTAGATAAAGGTATTTTAGGGAGAGACAATGATGCTGGCAGAGTGACTTATCTTTCAACGAATCAATGATAAATTAGTGAGAAAATGTTTTCAATTATCTTTTAATTGACAAGATAAATTATCTCACTTAATAACCATCACTGCAGTCATGGTGTAGGAGGTCACTATAATTGGATTGCAACGTGAGTCATTGCTTTCGGAGTATGTCAAACATCCTTATGTTATAGTATATAGAAACAGCTTTATATAATACCTGTAGTTTTTTATCAGCTGATTGTATAGGGCCAGTTAATGATTATTTTATAGATGTGTATTGAATATAGCAATGGTATGAATACCACTTCTGAGGTTGCATGCACTTCACAATTACTACCAACTTGTTATTTATGTATAGATAAGAAAGTCACACACATAAAGCATCACTTGTTAATTGCTGAAGTTTTATCAGTAAGAGGGCTTTTGTACACAATAATGACATGTGAGTTAGACAACAATAGAGTTTTTTGTGATGTAATTTCTGAGTAGGGATGTCGGTGCCCATTGTGAAAGTTTGGTTTCGTACTCTAACTGATATGTAGTGAGCATTTTTTCTCCAAGTATTTGAAATATAATTGATATTAAAATAAATCCCTCTGAAGAAAATTTTAGGGATTCAATCTTTTTATGTGTTATGGAAGGAGATATTATGTCCAAAGTACATCAACAATAATTTAAAAAAAATTGTGGGCAAACCTGATAGCATCATGGTATGTTGACCCTATAAATTGATAAGTCAATGCAGCCTGCTATGAGTTCAACATTATGTCATGTTGACCTTACAATAATAGGTCAACATGACATACTATGAGGTCAACATTGTGTTATGTTGACCTTAAAATAAAAGAAGGTCAACAAGACATACTAAGACATCAACATTGTGTCATGTTGTTTTATTCCAATCTTTTCAGCAGATGATGACAGGCGTGGAGGAGGCGGGTACGGGAACAGAGACAGACGGGACCAGGATAGAGGCGGAGATCCCGATAGGACGGAAGGCGACTGGCGACGTGGACCACCAGGTGGTGGTGGTGGGTTTGATGGTAAGGACACCTGGTGGGGGAATTTACAAAGGCACCTTTGGTAGACCAGTGTAGGTCTTGTGTTGAATGGCATTCAGGACAGTCGTAGATTTAATGTGAGACCAAATAAATGATTTAATTTTTAGGATTTTGTATTAGATGTAGAATATTGCCCATGGAGTTAACAAGGGGTTTCTCCATAAAAAAGTTCTCACCTTGTTAGAGAATTAAGTAGTTAAAATGAATCATCTCATAACAGACCTGTATTGTGACTTCCTGAGAGTGCATGAGTCAGAACTGCTTTAGATTGCAGTGATATCCAGGGATGGGAATACTGCTATTTTTTACTAAAAAAAAAAAATTTTGAAGAAATTCAGAATTTTTTGGTTTAAAGCATAAAAAAAGGGGCAGGTTGTTGGTGGCGTTTGGTTTTCTTTCTGTATTAACATCTTCTGTTCCCCTCCCTGTGATACCTGTGATAGCAGACAGTGAGTGCTCATCCTTTATAATATGGCAAAAATTAACCAGTCTGATATATCAGCCCTTTACCTTTATTCACCATGATGTACCATATCCTATAACTTTCACAGAATTACCTTCTATAAACCCACTTACGAGTTCTTAGTTATAATGGTAAAGACTGGTGACTTTCACTCATTATGGTAATTTAAAAATGGGAAATGTAGAAGTCAGAAGTGGGTCCTTAGACCATAACTTAATGCGTAGATATACTTTGGTTATAAAAGAGAAAGGGCTGAGATTTCCGGATAAATAAATGCTTTGTTTATTAAGGTGTGATGGACACAGCATGCTGTAAACAACCATTGGCATTGCTAAGAATGGGTATGAATGTTTTGGTGTTTTGAGAAGTTTGGTGATTAGGGTCCAGATTCCAAGGAGAATTTAGTCCCAAAATTTGGTTTTCTTTGAGTCACAATGTGGCAGTGGTAGTTCTATGGAATGAAATATTCATCCTGTTTCTAGAAAAAGAAAGACATAGCTAAATTATTTAACCAGATTTAGTAACATTATCATGGAGCGCATTTAGAACAGCAGACTAACAGATCCGCGGATCAAATATGGTGACCCACTAAATAGCTTGCCACTCAATTCCTGATCAGAAACTGAATAGATATTCGTGGGGATTGCTCAGCAAGCATTCGAGTGGGTTGGATAACATGAATCAGTGCTTTTGCTTATTAATTTACTGCAAAGGCTTGACATACTATCTAGTAACATATATGCATCTTCTGTGCTTGAAGTATGAATACATATAAGTATGAAAGATTGATGGAGCATGTTTATTGAGGTGTATGTGTATTCTAAAGATGTTTGTATCAGTGTACTTTTTAGTCAGCTGAAACAATCCACTAGCCTGATCAGTCCAGTTACTGACTGTTTTTCAGATATTTCACTGGCCCGGTCCAATTTTTACTGGCATCGGTAGTCAGGCCAGTGGTAAACATAGCAGACTGCAATACAACAACACAACACAACACTATGTGATACAAAGCAACAAAATACAATATAATAACTGACTAAAATGGTCTCTCTGAATTAATCCCAAAATGATATCAAATAATATTTCATCAGAATAGTGAGGAATTATACACAAAACGGCATTATTTTGTTGGAGTTGAGTATGAAATTGGTGTATTTTCATAATGGTGTTTGCCCATAGAAGAGCTTCCGTAGTCCAGCTTAACGTCAGTGGTGCATATAGATGAGGGTTCCAGCAATCTGTGGTTACACTCAGACTCCGTTCACATGAAAAATCTATTTTCTAAAAATCTATTTTCCATTCGCGGTATCTTGTGATCACTCCAAGCGCAGCCGAGAATTAATTACAGCTTTGGAAGTAACTGGCTCGCGCTGCCAGTAATTATGCCGCGGGGTATTTCGGGCACAGACCGTGATCACAAGATACCAGGAATAGAAAATAGATTTTTAGAAAATAGATTTTTCATGTGAACGGAGCCTCATTGCATGTTGGATATTGGCATGGTTTGTTCCCACTGCCTAAACTTAAACAAAGCCCTGCCGTTGGTCTGCATTTGCCCAGTGATTTTCTTCAATGATAACTGAGACCTGATTGCTGAGTGTTTTGTCTTGTTTTCTACCATTCCTTGTGTGGTTTAGATATGGTTTATACTTGCAGCTGCATTATCACTGGATGGTTTATTTTGCCCAACATTTTGTGAAAATGAAAACTGACTGCATGATTAAACTTTTGTGTCAAAAATAATGGTTAGATGTAGAAAGTTTGCAAAAAACAAATATGATTTTTTTTCTGATAAAATATGACTTTTATAAGATTTATCTGTCCTCAGAGAAAATTATCCGATCAAAAGCTGAAAAAGAATGTTGAAAAGGCAGAATTTACGTACAATTTCAGATCCTTCCGATCCTTATTACATTGCTCCTGACATACTTCAGAAATGTGATCGGATAAGGCATAGCAGCATAGATCAGTCAAAATCAGGCCTGGCGTTCTTAAGCCCCTTACGTTTAACGGGCGACACTACTGATTACACGACTGACGAGGATGCCACCAGCACACACATAAATCGTTCCTGCGGCAGACTTGATAAGCTGGGACATTCAATTGAGATCCCTCAGGGGCGCAAAAGACGTAATAGGTCACACACGCGCTACGGTCCTCGGGGCTCGTCCGTTGAGCCTCAGTATGGGTCAGGTTATCAGTCATTGGATAGATCCACTGGTGGGCGTGTGCATCAAAATGTGTATTATGGAAAGCGCTATCAGAGTTTGGATAGATATGGTGGAAGGAATCAGTCGATTGATAGAAGCTTTCCAAGCAGAGCAGGAGGTAGTTGTATATATGCCTGTTTTATTGGATGTCATGGATTAGGGTTAATAAGCAATGACAAAAATAAAAACGAATTGGAGAAATTTGGTTAATAGAAGTTTTATTACATTTCTACATTAGAATAACAAAAAGTAGCATTTATTGATACCATGCAAGAAGTATAAGTCACCATAACATGACCAGGTTTATCACCTTTGAAACAACTGGCAGCTCTGGAGTTCACACTTCTAGGGAGAGTGTTCCGTATATTTTCCAGGGCGTGAAAGCCTTCCAAGGCTGGATTACGGTAGGAGTAAGGACGGTAGACGTAGTCAGTCGCGGGATCGGTATGGAGGTATACCCTTGGCATGTGGCTAGAAACGTGAAACCCTTTTAGTGCATCTTGAGGTGTGATAATGATCCTTGTTTGTGTTTTGGTTAGATATGCCTTGATTGAAATAACTTGCTGAACATGGATCAGATTTACCAATTTTGGATATGGGTCATTGTGACCTATTTCTTTGAACATGGGTTGGCATGGCCCATTTCTTGAATGTGGTTCATATTGACCTATTTCTTTGAATATAGGTCATCTTGACCTGTTTCTTAGAAAATGGGTCATCTTGACCTATTCCTTACTATATGGGTCATCTTGGCCTGTATCTGTTTTGCATTTGGGTCATCCTGGCCTTCATCTCAATGGAAATCCAGTCATTTTTGCCCAGGCCTGTTATAATTTAGAGTATTTTGGCTTGATATCTCCATACATAAGGTTTCACGGTTGACGGTCTTGAATGGACTTGAATGGACCACTGCCCTGCTTGTTGAATGTCTTCAATCAAAATCATTGTTTTGTGGAATAAAACCTAAAACATTTATGTGATTGCTCATTAACAGTAGAGATTGTATTTGAGCATGTTGTGATGTGTGCCATACCCATAATTCATTGCACCTGGTATATAGTATGGATTCCAGTTTGAATTATAGAAGAACAGCTGGATTTGTTGATGAAATGTTATGCTGTATACATGTAATAAACAGACAAACAGTTGAAAAAATGGCCTCATTTTGAACTGATATTATTTCTGTCAAAGGCTCTTTCTTTCAGGGTTGTATAGGATTCCTGAGTTAAATTTGGATAGCTTCTTTGCACCAAAGCCAGATCTACAGAATGTATTTTGCATGTATTCGGTACTAATCAAGTTAACCTTTTTGACATTTATACAATATATCTGGGTTTGCTTGAATAAAACATTTATCATTGTGTGTTTTTTTCTGGAAAAAAAGTGTTCAAAGGGGAAGCAATTGTCTGTCTGAATATCAGAACCCACTTGGACTTTTTTTTTACTTTTTTTAAATTTTCAAACATGACCCCTTTTCATGTGTCAATATAAGCAAATGTTTGATTTTAAGTTTATTTTACACGTCAGTCAATAACGTGAGATGAGTCTGCTGATGATGTGAAAGTGCTCTTCTACCTGACAACAAAATTTAGATAGCTCGTCTTAAGACGTGTGTCTGTGATTGGTGTACTAACTCCAGGCAAGCTTGACGCAGAATGTTAGAGTGCATGTTTGAAGGCTTGAAATTGAAGAATCTTAGCAAGATGTAATGTGAAGCTCATGTATGAAAAATTTGGCATAACTAATAAACCCATGAAGTATGATTGAAACTGCTTGGAAGTCTGTGCTATAAAAAATTTGATTGAAATTGTTGTGATTGCATGCGGTGATTGAATTTGTGTGATCCATCCTTCTTATACAAAAGTATGTGCTTGGTCCAACACAGATTTTTCTACTTGAGTTATTTGGAATGTGACATTGTTAAACTACTTCTCTCATCTTTATAACTTTAAGTGTCAGAGGAGCTTGAAGAAGTATTTATTCCATTCCTTGTCTTCCATAAATCCTTTAAACACTCCGCATTACCCAAAGTTAATTTTAAGGTGAAACGAATTTTGATTTCGTTCCTTGGTCCTGCATTTGATTTCTTAGCCTTACAGTTCATTGGTTATTTTGGGGACATAATATTGGCAGGTTTGTGCAGAGGTGCCTAATACTGTATTCAATGGAGAAAGTAGTGAAATATTTTTGCTAGTATTGCGTTGACCATTTCAGATAGAGACAGTGGTTATGGAAGATCTGGAGGCTATGGAAGCCGAGATGACCGACCTGGTGATAGATACAGTGATCGCTATGGTGACCGAGGTGGTGATCGTTATGGAGGAGATCGCTATGGTGACAGAGGAGGTGATCGCTATGGAGGTGATCGCTATGGTGACAGAGGTGGTGATCGCTATGGTGACAGAGGTGGAGATCGCTATGGTGACAGAGGTGGAGATCGCTATGGGGACAGAGGTGGAGATCGCTATGGTGACAGAGGTGGTGATCGCTATGGAGATCGTTATGGTGATAGAAATGGAGACTATGGA